CTGGGGCTTCCCAGAAAGGATGTATTAGCGGTTAATTGACATCTTGAGTGCTTGCAATGCCTTTATCCTACCCTCGCTTATGATCAATAGTTTGGCTGAATATGGAATTCATAGTTGGAAACAATTTCTCTCAGAATGTTGACATCATAGGTCCTTTGTCCTCCATTGTTCCAACATCCTCCCATAGTGTGAAGAAATCTGAAGCAATTCTAATTTCTGATTTTTTTTATGTAACTTTATTTAAAAATTTTTTTTTAAACTTTCTCTTGCTCTCTCTTTTTTTCTTTCTCTGGGAGATTTTAGGATCTTCTCTTTGCCCCCCGTGTTCTAAAACTCCATAGTGATGTGTCCTGGTTGGATCTATTTTCATTCACTGTTCTGGGCACTGATGAGCCCTTCAATCTGCACACTCGTGTTCTGGATCACACTGATCACATGCAGGTAACCTGTGCCTGGGCTGCTGAAGGAGGGTGCAGGATCTCTGAGCTGCTCTGCCCCAAGCTAAGTTCTCAGGAGGAGCCCCAGGCTTCAGACCAAGTTTCTAACACTCACCTATCAGGAATTGCTTCAGTTAGAAAGTCCACTACTTCTATAGATGAAGAAACAGGCTCAACCTGTGCCCTCAAGCTCTTAGCCATGACTGGCATAACTGGAAATAGAATTGAGGCCTTTGATTTCTGTTCCAGGGACTTTGTGCTAGACATCAGTGTTTCATAGAATTTAATTTGCTTAAGAATCATCTGGGAAACGTTAAAAACACAGATTTTGGGGGCCTGGCACCCAGAGACTCATGTTCATTAAGTCTGGGGTGGAGCCCAGGAATCTGTATTTTGACAAACACCACAGGTGAGTCCAATGATTGTGATCCGCAGCCTAAAGATACCCTTGGTAGCTCTCATGAGCAGAACATATTTCTCTGGTGTTATGGTCTGAATGTTTGTGTCACCCCTGAAAATCCATATGCTGAAATCCTAACTCTAAGGTGATGTTATTTGGAGGTGGGGCCTTTGGGGGTGATTAGGTCACAGGAGTGGAGCCCTCATGAACGGGATTAGAATTCTTAATAAGGGAACCCCAGAGAGCCCCCTTGCCTCTTCCACCATGTGAGGACACAGAGAGAAGTTGCCCTCTGTGAGCCAGGAAGCAGTTCCTTACCAGACACCCAACTGCCAGTGCCTTGGTCTTGGATTTTCCAGCCTCCAGACCTGAGATATATATTCCCTTTGTGTATAAGCCACTCAGTCTGTGGTATTCTGTTATAACAGCCTGAGTGACAATGACAGCTGGAGAATGCGCTGCATTTCAAAAATGTTATCCTTTTCCTCTGGCAGGTTCAGGTAAATGCTTGGGGGTAGGTGGTGGGGCTCAGGCTTTGAGGGGAAGATGACAATTCCTCAGGGTAACTTTAATGGCGAGGTGGCAGTTAAGGCAATAGATGCTGTCCCTGGCACCCTTGCCAATGTCTGAGTTATGATTCTGGAATAAAAGATGATTCATTATGAATCTGGAACTCAGCCAAATGAGTAGGACTCTAGAACAGCATAAATGACGCTGCTCTCTACCAGGAGACCAAAGCAGGAAGGCCGAGCTGCCCTTCGACATCTGCCTGTGCCTTTTCTTCTGAAACGCCCCAGGAATCTCAGGAGTTCAGCGATGCTGTCACGGGTGCTGTTTTAAAGGGGGAAGCCAGCTTTGGCCCTGCTGAGGTTGTAAGAAAGCTATCTCTGTGTGTGCCAACGGTAGTGGTAATAACCCAGAGGTTACGAGACGCTTTCATGAACATTACCAGCATCCTCTCCTTCATCTGAGCCTATGCTGAGGGGGTCAAGTGATTCCTGGTTATTAGTTATACACAGCTTCTGCAGGTTAATTTTCTTTTGCCTAAAACTTGGTTTTATCTCTCTCTATGCATCTTGCTCTTGTTTCAGACGCACTTGAGTGGGGTGCACTGTTGTAACGCTCTCTCAAAGAGGCAGCCCCATGCACCTCCTCCTTCCCAGCACTTGTCACATTTTACAAATAGTTACATTGTGATTAGGTAATTGTCTGTGTCCACCACTAGATAAGCCTCATGTAGGCAGGCATCAACTCATTCCCAGACATAGCACAGCGCTGGCAAGGCACAGTGATGGCTGAGTATGTAAAGGGTGAATTAACTGAGGAAGGGTTTATGTGACACAGGGATGCTGGCTGCACAGCTTCTTGCAGGATGGCAGTGAACAAGGAGAAAGTTGAGTTCACCCAAGCACTGACCCAGCTTGGAGAACTTCCCCTCCATTGTGGATAAAGGGAACGTGTGATCTTGTACGTCCCAGACTACAGTCTTCATTCCGCCCACCCTGGGAAGCCCCACTCCTCCTCTTCTTCTGCCTCCTCTCAGCACAACCATCCCCTCATTGTCCCAGTCAGGAGCCTACACATCACCCTTGATGCCTACCTCTCCCACACTGCTCAAATCTGATCCATCCCTGGCTAGTGGACTCCGACCTGCCTTGCAGCCATTCACCCTGCAGCTGCCCAGGGCAGGGCACCAGCACCTCCTACCTGGATTCCTCCACGACCTGCTGGACGACCTCACCAGCTCTCCCCTCCAGCTTCCTTCACTCACACACTCAGAAATGTGCCTCCAACTTTAAAGGGACCCTGTTAAAATGCAGAGCTTGACTCAATAGGTCACAGCAGGGTCTGAGATCCTGCATCTCCAACAAGCTCCCAGGTGAGGCCGATGCTGTGGTCCACATACCACATTTTAAGTAGCCAAATGTCATTTCTAAAATTTAAATCTGAGTATGTCATCCCCCCTGACACTCTTCAGTGGCTGCCTATGGCCCACAAGGCCTTATGTCAGCAGTTCTCTTCCAGCTCAATGTGCTGCATTCCCCACGGTCTCTGAAGCGCTCGCGGGTCCTCTAATCGCTGCGCGCTCTCACACCCCGCGCTGTTCCCTCTGCCTGGAATGCCCTCCTGCCTCTTGCGCGGTCCTTTAGCTCATTCCCACTTGACTGTTAGGCTTCACCCAACCATCACCTCCTCTAGGAACCCTTCCCAGACCCCATCCACTCATCCCCCACTCCCAGAGGAGGTTAAAAGGCAACAAAGGAGCCCCCCGTGGTTCTGTCTCTCAGCCCTCACTGCCTTGCCAGGCACTGGCCCATTTACCTGCCCATCTCCCTACCTGGACTTAAAAGGACAGAGCCTGGGACAGTGAAAGCTCACAGCTGTTTGCTGGTGAAGGATAGACTCACAGAGGGACCCACCTATCCTCTCTGGGCAGCTCCTCCAGTCCTCTGTCAAATGACAGTGTCTCTCCCATGGTTTCCATGGGACGCTGTTAAGGGGGGTCATTTCTATTCACTGCACATTCCCAGTTCCTTCCTGCACCTGGTTTACATTTTTTTTCATCTCAAGATGAACAACTGTCTGATTTTGTCTTTGGCAGAATCCCTGGGGACTGCTGAATCTGCGGCTCTTCGCTGCACTGTGATTCCTGCCATGCTGCTGAGTAGATCTTGAGTGTGGGCCCCAGCAGTCTCTCCTGGAATCTGATTCACCCCCAGCATCTTGCTTTCCCCATGGCTTGCTCAAGTCTTTGCCCAGGGACCCATGGGGAGCTGAGGACAGGTGTGAGACTGAAGAGAAAGCTGCTCCCACTGTCCTGGCCCTAATTCTTCTGAGAATCAGAGGCCTTGCAGGGAACCCAGACTTTCCCAGTGGGATGTAGAGTCACAGAGGCCTGGCTGCTCCTGGGAGTCGGCCCACTCTCCTGGTACTGAGAATGTTCGGCCTATCTAGGGAATTTGTAAAGTCCCTTGTCGTCTCCTCTCCTCATGTCTCCACTGCCACCCCAAGCCACAGTGAAATCCCAAAGCACTTTGAAGTTCATCCAGTATTGACGCCACTGTCGGTGGTGCTACCCTCCTGTCACGTACCATGAACCAGGGAAGTACTAGAAAAGGAGAGGGACCAAGAGGCAGGCGACGTAGGTTCTAGCTCTGGCCCTTCCATCTGCCACTTGCCTGGCCACACGCAGCCATTTTGCTTCTGTGGGTCTCTTTCCTCCCCCGTACAACGTGTTTACGTACCTTCCCGGTCAGCCCACAGAGTTGTGGTGAAGGCCACATGAGTTGGAAAATGTGCAAGTGCTTGTTGAGTAGTAGAGGAGGCGAGTTAATAACAATGAAGGCCAGGGCTAAGAAAAGGGGAGCACGGCATCGCGCTGGCGTCGCGCTGGCCTCGGTGCTTCTTCCTCTCCCACTTCCAGTCGTTTCCATGCCAATCCCCTTACAGACCACCTCATCTCCCCAGGCCCAGAAGAAAAGTTGGGCACGTAAGCTGTTCGACCACATTAGTGTGCATGCGTTTAATGCTTTACCCCCCTGGGGTATTTTCATCTTACAATGAATGAAGGCAGGAAGCCCAAAGGAAGGAATTTATAAAGAAGAAATGCAAATGCAGGGACAGTGAGAGCTGAGTGAGTGGGAATCCACGGGGCAGGGGCAGGGAGGAACATCCCAGATGATCCCAGGGCTCCACTTTGACTCCGTCATCAGGACAGTCAGTGCTTTGTGGGACTCAGCCCAATGCCATGGCCCCTTTCTTGTGCTGACAGAGGATGGGCAGTCGGGAACTTTGGTGGGAACTCGGACCTACCAGTGAGTGGATCATTAAAGGATTCTGCCTGCGTGTTCAAAATGGCCTGCCAGGCGAGGAAGAGGCACAGATGAATTGTTAACAGCACTGTAGCCTTTTCTGCAAAGCCGCCAGCCCACTCCAAGACTGCCAGAGTGAAGAAGTGGTTGTTCCCAAAGCGTGACAGAGGTGAGGTGCCTCAGCCCCTCTGTCCCTGCCTGGCTCTGCCTGGTGTCGTCTGAGCCTCTCCTCCCCAACTCTTTCTCACCAGAATCACTGTGAACTGCCAGGCACCAGCCTCTATGGTGACAGAGCAGCCTGGGGAAGATGAGAATATGACCTTGGAAAAGAATCACAAAACCTGGAGAAAGTGCAGCTGGCCTTTCTTGAAGATTTGGTTGCCCAAACCTCTCCTCAGGACTTTATTAGATCTTCCAAAGCAAGGAAACAAAGAAGTGCATGTTTTCTACAGCACAGGGGATCACCCTGGACTTGACTCCCAGTCCAGCCCAGTCTGGACCCCACAGCCCTGCATGTCCCGTGCTCACTACGCCCTGCCTCGGAAGGAGGCTGGCGATCGCTGCCCTCCATTGACGTCGTAGGGCCTAGCTTCAGGCATCTGCTGCCGAGCAATATGGTGGCCACCTTCTATCCAGAACGCTCTCTGTTCCTTCCAGAGTGCATTCTCTTCCTCCCAGAGGGACTTTTTATCCTCCCACAGGGACTTCTCCTCCTCAAGGAGGGCTCTTTCCTCTACCCACAGGGCCTTTTCTTCCTCCCACAGGGCCCTGTCCTCCTGAAGAAGGTTCTGGTCTCTTTCCCATAAGGCATTGTCCTCTTTCCAGAAGGCCTTATCTTCCTTCCAGAAGGTACGGTATTTTTTCCAAAAAGTTTTCTCTTCTTCCCGGAAAATTTTTTCAATTTCCCAAAAGTTTTTTTCCTCTTTCCAGAAAGTTTTCTCTTCTTCCCAGAAAGGTCTCTTCTCTTCCCCGAAACCCAAGATCTGGCCCCGTAAAGCACGGATCTTGCCTCGGAAATTCCACATCTCTTCCCTGAAGTCTTCTATTTTCTCATGGAAAATTTTCATCTCTCCCCGAAAAGCCTTTTCCTCCTGTAGCTTGTGGACTAGTTTCTTCTGGCGCATGTTGGAGGAGGAGACCACCAGTGACCGGAAGCAAGCAAGCCCCCTCCATTTGCTCACCTTGAAGGGAAACATCTTCCTAGTCAGCCAGGATGAGGGGACGGCTGTGAGGGAGGACAGGGCGGTGGCCAAGTCCAGGTCAGCTGGTCCAACCCTGTGGGGCAGCAGAGAGAACATGCCTATGAGTATCACATGCCAGGGCTCAGCCCTGGGGTCTGCACTACTTGACTTGGGAAGATTTACTCATTGCTGTCATCGTTCCCTTGCTGGTGTTTGTGAGGGACAAGCTTTGGTAGAGAAACGTGCTGGGTGGTCGTGGCTTTGGGCTGCATAGGCAGTGAATACATTCAAGCTCCAGGCTGCTGAAAACAGAATCTCAGCCAACTGGAACAGCGGTTCTAAACTAGGATATCGGAGCACACAAGTGTGACATAACTGAAGAGGTGTGTCACAAATGGTTTTGTTTTGCTTTTAAGTAATAAAGAAGCACAGCCCCCGAAGGATTTGCTTCTGAAAACCACTCTGAATTCATTCAAGGCTTTGGCATTCTCATTTGGTAATGGTGCATACCTCCCTAGGGCATGCTCACAGCAGGGTGCCTCACTTGCAGATGTCCTCTGTGACAAGCCATCTGGGAAACAGAAGGTGAGACCCACTGACCCAGGGGAGTCTATTTTAGTAGAAGAATCTATTTTGGGAACAGGTTTAACACAAAAAGGCGAGAGACAATGGCAGATGTTGGTGAGGTTGTGACAAGAGGAAACCTCACACATAGCAAGTAACATCATGCAACAGTGAAGACCCCTTATGACCCAGCAGCTGCACTCCCAGGTATGAACGCTGAGGACACCTGTGAATTGTGACCAGGACACGTGTACAAGCATGGTCAAGGAGCTTTGTTCATAAGACCTCAACACTGCAAACCATCCAATGATCATTGCAATAGAGTGGAATAAAAAATGGTGGTACACCCACGCGATGGACGGCAGAGCTGCCTACAACAACACTGATGGATCTTACATAGTGTTGAAAGAAGGAAGCAGGATCAAGGAATTTCAAAGAATAAAGTTCCAAAGCAAGCAAAACTAAACCCTATTGTTTAGGGGCACACACTTAGGTGATAACACAAAAAAGAAAAGCAAGGAAGTGAATCCCACGGATAATAGTTACTTGTGGGGGTGGGGGGTGGGGGAACTAAGGGTTGTGATTAGGTGAGTGCTTGAGAGGGGCTCTGCGGGGCTAGCAGTGCTCCGTTTCTTTGCTTGGGTGGTGGTTGCACATGTGTAATTATAAAAATGCATTAAGTTTTATGAGTGAACTTTATGTACCCTAGTAAATGCAGTATATTTCACAGTAAAATAAAAGCTAGGGAGAAAGAAAAAGAGAGAGAAGGAAGGAAGGAAGGAAGAAGAGAGGGGGAGGAGAGACGGGGAAAACTCTCCAAACATTGCCATACATCTGAGGTATCAGATATCAGAACTGTCCACAAAAATTCCAGTGGCCACAGAGGAGGTCAAGCGATGAGAAAAAGGGTTGGGCACGGCAAAGTGGTAGGAGCAGGGAAGCCCTCCGTGTGGCCAGACAAGGGTGTGGGCACCTGGTAAGGGCCCTGGTTTCCATTCTGTGCTTTCTGGAAGAAGCTGCCAGGGTCTGGCCTCACTAGGTGAACATCACCAAGCACCACACTGTGGAGCAACATGAGACCTTTCAGGGAGGTTTTCTGTTTTCCCCCAGGTTTTTGCATTTCTGGCTTGGGAACAAAGAGCAGGGGTAAAGGGAAGACACAGTGTGTGTGTGTGTGTGTGTGTGTGTGTGTGTGTGTGTGTGTGTGTAGAGATGGTGGCTATTCTGTGGACAGCTGGTGGCACCTCATCTACCCAGTCACACAAACCAGAAACTGGGGCTCATCCTCGAGCTCTTCCTCTCCCTCACCAGACTTTTTGTAAACCATCAAGCCCCACCAGTTAACGTCCTTAATATTTCTTGAAACTACACCTCTGCTTCATCTCCTTGACCACTGACTGTTCAGGCCAGTTTGCCTGTATCGGTGGGACCCTCCCACTTGTCTCCTACACTGCAGCCCCAGGGGTGTTTCTAAAACACTGTCTCATCATGTCACACCTCACAAACCTCTGAAGACCCCATAGCCCAAAGATCAAACCAAACGCCTCGGTAAGGCCTCCTGCAAGCCAGCTCCTGCTCGTCTCTCCTTCACTTTCTCACCCCGTGTGCACTTGACTCCAAATCCAGGCTTCAGTCTTACCAGCTCCCTTCAGCTCTCTGGACACAACGCAGCTTCCTGCCTCTAGGCCGAAGCCCATGCTGTGTCCTCTACCGAGATGTCCTTTTCCCTTTGAAAGTACTCAGACCCTCCAGACAAAGTTCCTCCCTATCTCCCTGACGCTGCCTGTCTCTACGTACTGCTATTGCTACTTGCCGTGCTTGATTGCAATCATGTGAACGTGTCTTTCTGCAGTGCTGTAACTCAGCATCTATCATGAAGCTGTGCACAGAGGAGGGAATGATAAACATATTGATTGAATTGAGCTGAACTCGATTGAATTTTGGAACTTTGATTTTCTTTGTCATATCATGGTTCTTTGTCTGGAATCCCTCAAATGTGCCAAATACTTCCTTCCTCTCTTCCAAGACACGCTGGTCTCTCTCCCTGGAAAGCCTTGTTTACCCTCACCTCACCTCACCTCACCTCACCTCACCTCACCTCACCTCACCTCACCTCACCTCACCTCACCTCACCTCACCTCACCTCACCTCACCTCACCTCACCTCACCTCACCTCACCTCACCTCACCTCACCTCACCTCACCTCACCTCACCTCACCTCACCTTGCTAATCCTTCAAGACTCAGAGGAGGAGTCACCTCCTCCGGCAGCCTCTCCAGTGCCTCTCGCCAAGCTCAGACTGAGGGTGTGCCCTTCCGGCCCCACCACGAGCACCTCATCTCCCATCTCTTTGTCCAGCATCTAGCACAATGTCTGCCACATGATAGAAGTTCGGGAAATGCTGGCTGAATCAACAGCAGGCTCCTGGGTTGGCATGTTGGAAAAAAATCATCTCCAAGTTTTTCTCAAATTACCACTAAATCATACTTTGAGGAAGAGATAAAATAAGTACCATATCAAATATGTAGACGTGTATTTAGATAAAGTACAACATAAAACTGTAGATGTATATCCATGTAGATATAAATATATGAAGTAAAGAAACATGCCTACTCTTCATAACTATACTACTTCATTACTAGGAACTTATATCTAAAGGAAATGTTATATATAACCTTACGCTCAGAACAAATACTATGATATCTAAATCCAACAGTTACTTACTGCTTAGCTGCTTCCCAACTGGGCAAGTCCTGTGGCCTTCAGCAGACAGGTGGTCATTGTCATCTCACACCCTGGTGATGCGTGCTTGTGGGCTCCTGCGAGCACTATTACAATGGCCCCTCTGGGCCCTCTCAGTCCTGACTCACAGAATGCAGAGGGCCACGATGGAGCCCCAAATAAGAGACTTTAAAGAGAGAGCCCCTGAAAGGCCTGAAAGACTTTGCTGTCTTCCATCTTTGACTTCATCAATAGGGGGCGCTGTTGATGACTCACAAATGATTGTTACCTCAGATTCTGTCTGGGTGGCTTCCAGGCATGGGCTTCTGGGAAATCACGTGTTGGCGGGAGATTTGCATGTGATGAATTATATCTCTTGCTGCTCTCAAGACTCTTTGTTTTTGCCTTTTGACAGTTTTTGCCTTTTGACAGTCTTGGTGTAGATGTCTTTGAGTTTATCCTACTTGGAGTTTGTTGAGTTTCTTAGATGTGCAAATTTGATGCAGTTTTTCATCAGATTTGAGAAGTTTTTTGCCATTATATTTTCAACTATTTCTCCCCCTTTCTCTCATCTCCTTTTAGAACTGATAGTACGTGTATGTTAGCTTGATGGTGTCCCACAGGTCTCTGAGGCTCTGTT